CCCTGCCATAGGCCCCACCATAACGCCCTACGGCTATCCAGTCTCTGTGGCCTCCCTGACCCCCAGCCCGGGAAAGGCAAGTAGTGTCAGTGGGCACCCCGCCCGCCCCGGCCTGGCCCAGGCACCTCGAGGTCCCGGGCGAGCTCGAAGAGCAGCGCGATGGTTTCACCAGCCGCGATCCGCAGGTTCACGCTGTCGCTGGACAGGAGCTGGGGCAGCCGGGGGAGCTGCCTAAGGAAGGGGCAGGCTGAGCCACACGTGTGGGCCGGGGCCCTCTTTGAGACTCCCTCCCCAAGCAGGCAGTCTCCCTACCTGGAGAGGATGTGGCGGACGTGGGAGCTGGGGCAGATGGTGAGCAGCAATGCCCAGGCCTGCAGGGCAGCACAGAGCAGGCCGTGCAGACTGGCAGGAACCACGGGAGCCGTGGAGCTGACACCGCAGGACCGGCTGAAAACACCTTCTAAGCAGGTGAGGCAAGAGACCAGGTCCTAGGAGCACAGGGAGGCGGGGAGGGGCTCAGGGCAGAGCCACGGGCCTGCATGCTGCACCACCTGGGACCAAAGGCACTCACTCACCTGGACGTCGGCCGCGGCCACGTAACAGCTCAAGCCGAGCGCAGAAGCACACTGTGGAGGACAGAGCCAGGCACGGTCGGAGGGGGCCTTGGCTCCCAGTCGTGGGCTTACTCTCCTCAGGGTAGGGAGCCTGACAGCGAAGGGAGCACCCCTCTGCTGACGGGTGGGGCAGGAGAGGTTTTGGGCATGGCACACTCACGTGGAGCCGGGCGACAGGGCTGGCCATGCTGTCACCAAGCACAGACACCAGCAGGGGCTGCAGGCTGTGGAACAGCTCCTCGCCCTTAGGTCCGGGGCCCAGCTGCACACAGAGCAGGCCCAGCACGGCAGCAGCCAGCGCCTGCTCCTCGCCCTTCCCTGTGGGATGCTCTGCGGTCAGCCCTGGCAGCCAGGGGCAGACCAGCCCAGCTCAGGCCCCCTGCACGCCCGGGCCGACCTTTCCTGAGGCACTTTTCCAGGGCGTCAGCCAGCGTGAGGCGGCGCTCCAGCAAGAAGTCGGGGAGGAGGCGGGATGCCAGGGCCAGGCGCAGGCTCTCCAGGGCGCCTTGCCGGATTTTGGCACTGAGGGGTAAGAAGGGGTCACGTGGGAGCTCTGCCCTGGCTGCGCTCACATGGGCTGCGTGGGGACGCAGGTGTGGCCCTGGGTATGGCAGTTAGTGGTGGCCGGGGGTACCTCTTGTCTGTGAGGCGGTCCACATACTCCTTCAGCTTCTCCTCGAGCTCCTCCTGCTGGCCCTGCTCATCCACGCCATTGGCCCCTGCAAGGCCAGCTGGTCAGCACGCTTCATGACCATCCCCGGGGCCCTCGCCAGGCCCTGCCAACCTGGCACCCACTCTCACCGAGGCCGTCCTCCGCTGTGGTGCTGAGCAGGCTGGGGCACTCGCTGGTGGTGCTACGGGCCTCGCTGGCTGCCTCATCCTCACTGGAACCTGAGTCGGCTTGGGTGCTACTCCGGGCACCTGGGGGTGCGGGAGGGGACATTTAGCTTGTTTCCACTGATGGGCTGGCTGGGATCCCTCACTCAACTGCACGACCTCCACTGTGTCTCAGAGATGAGGAAACCAAAGCTGAGGTGCCAGTCAGTGGCAGAGAGGTTAAGGTGGCTGGATCCCACATGGCCCACTGTGCGGTTCGAGCCCAGAACCTGGCGGCTTGGGAAATAGGCCAGGCATGTATGCATTCGTGCCCAAAGTCCCAAAAGGACAACGGAGGAAAAGAAATTGTGGCATGGCCATCCCTTCGGGGAGTGATTTCTCACTTTCCCTCTCTCTCTGGCAAGCACAGGTGACTGATGGCAAAAATCAGAGAGAGAGAGAGAGAGAGGAGAGGAGAGACCGTGAGCCAGCTAGAGGTGGAAGGGGTTATGCAGGCCCCACGTAGGCCTGTGGCCCATATCCAAGCAGGTGGAGTTCAGCTACCAGCCGAGATTATGCCCTGAAGTGAGCAGGACAGGGGTCAGGGTTTGGATGACAGAGTCAGGCACAGCTGGCGTTCAAATCTCAGCTCCAGCTGCTAGAGGCATATCGGTCAGTTCCCCACCCTTCAACCCTCAGTTTCTCCACCTGCAAACTAGGGGTGCAAAAACACCTCTTTCAGGTGGAACAGGTGAGGACAAGTGGCCTTATGGCTCTTCCGTGGCCGTCAAACTCAGCAGGCCACCCGTCAGCCCTGGGGGCTGAAGCCCGGCTCCTAGTGGGTGCAAGGGCTACCCCAGGCGTCGAGCACTGTCTTCTGAAATGCCTATGGTCTATGCAGGGCCTTCAGCCCCAGGCAGATGGACACACAGGGTCCTCCCGAACCTGGGAAGAACAGAAAGCAAAGTGGCCTCTGACCATGTGAGCCCCTAAAAACAGGTGAACAAAGGAGAATCGGGGTCACTAGAGCTGACACAATCGTGTGAGGGTTCTGTCCAGGGCCGAGGGCTGTAAGCCTGGGGCAGGTTCTGATAGCACAGCTGGCCCTGCTTCTCAGGAGCTACTCACACCCCTCCCCTGCCTGCAGGACAAAGTCCAGCCCCACACACCAGCCTCTGCTCACCTCTGCTCCCTGGCAAAGCAGCCCAGCTCTCCCTGAGTACCCCACTATGCTGTGGTCCCTGGGGCTGCGGGGCTGCCGGGCCTTGGATCAGCTTGGTCTCTGCATGGTGCTCCCTTCCTCACCTTCTCAGGACTCAGCCAGAAGCCCCTCCCCTTGGGCGTCCCTGGTGCCTAAGTGTGGGGCTGACACCACTCAGCAAACTTCCCAGCACTGATCCCTCTGGAGTTGTCCCTACCCTATTAAATATCCCTCCAACCATGCCCCCAGGGCAGTCTAAGCAGTGCCTGGCAGGCACCCCATCCGAGCAAGTAAACATATGTGTTGACTGCAGCAGGACGCGCTCCTGGCCCAGGCTGATAACAAGTCTCAAGACTGCTCAGGCCTCATCCTCACCCACCGCACCGGGTCAGGCTCCCATGGCCCCACTCCCGCAGCTTCCCAATCACCCTCTGCCCTCGGCTTTCCGGACCACACCAGTCTCCCGCCAACTTCTTGCCCTGGCTATGCAGGGGTCAGGGTTTAGCGGGAGCATGCTTCCCGCTGCGTCCACTGAGGTTTGTCCAACCCAGCAGGCAACTGAGGTGGAGGGGCAATGGGGAACCCGAAGTCCGGAGGTGCTGACAGGGTCACCGGGAGCGCGGGACCCGACAGGCCGTGGGGAGCGCGCTCAGGCAGAGAGCACACGTGGCTGATGCCTGCTGGGCACGCGCCGGCCCAGGCAGTTCCAGGAGACTGCGCCAGGCTGGTAGAGGAGGCGATTCCCCGCCCAGAGCCCTCCGGGGCACGGGCAAGGACCCACACAGGTCCTCAGTTCGCCAGCTGTCCGGCGCCCCCCACTCACCTCCTCCACGTCGCTGGCCGCCCTTGCGGGGGGTGTTGCCCTTACGAGCGCGGGGCATACCGGGGGGGGTGTTGCCCTTACGAGCGCGGGGCCTCCCGGGCACAGGGCGCGGGGGGCGCAGGGTCAGGGGCCCGGCGGGCGAGAGCTCCAAACCAGCAACACGCGGGCCACTGCGCTGCACTGGGACTTGGGCAGACGACAGGAGCCACACGCCCGGCGCGCCACCATCTTCGCGAGGCGCCCCGCCCTGCCAAACAGGTCGCCGGGAAGGCAAGTTCTCGGCGATCCAGTTCAGGTCCGCATCCACACGGCCGGAACTACGATTCCCAGGGGGCCGCGCGCGCAGACTCCTGCCGGCCGGCTGAGCGAAGAGCACCACGGGATTGTAGTCCACTCCTGGGGCACTCCTAGGCTGACGACACTCTAGCTGAACTATGCACCCACAATGCCCCTAGCACCCCCCATCCCCCGCGACGTGCTCAGGTGCACAGTCGTTAACTCTGAAGTGGTGCGCCTCCGAAGCACCAGCCTCACAGAGCACATGCACCGGAGCCAGCAGGCCACTTCGAGGAGCCCTGTTGAGTGCTCTGGGTCCGGAACCGGGGTGGGGGTGGTGGTGTATGTGTGTGTGTGTGTGTGGGTGGGTGGGGGGAATTGGGGCTTGCAGGAGGGCAGCTAAACCTCGGACGGTGAAAGAAAAAGTGACTTTATGATGAAAGCAGAGTACAGACATCATCCCAGCACTTACAGACTCGGCCGGATCTCCTGGGCCCCACCTGCCCCCAGACAGATCCCAGTGAACTGCATATACCCAGCAGGTGTAGGTCCAAAGCCCTGGGCTGGCAATCCTAACCAGCGGAAACCCTGTCTCCCTGGGGCTTCTTCCTTGTCATGGAGAGTCATGCTCTCAGAGGGCTTCTGGTTTTATACCTGCTGTTTTAATTTTTTCTAATTCGCTACAGCACGTGTGTACTCACTGGAGACAGAGCAGGAAAGAAGAAAGCAGCACCACCCGAGAGGCAGGGGGATGGCTACCTGCAATCCCTCCTCCTCCATTCTTCTCTCCGGATTTCTGGGCATGCATGCACGCGTGCCTGGAGTGTTTTACAAACTGTAGGGAGTAAGGTCTGGAACCGAGCAGGTGGCCATGTGGGATTCAGCCACCTTAACCATCACACCACTGGCTGGTCCTATTTGTGCTTTTTCCTGGCCCTTGCCACCCCTCAGGGATCTCAAGAGAAGTGAGGTGTGTGCTTGGGAGTGCAGAGCATAAGCTGAATAGGGCAAGGGCAGGACAAAGTCCCCCCAGGACTAGGAAAATGGCAGCAGGGACAAGAAGAGGCAGGTGCGGGGACACCTGGCTTTAAGCTGCTTCCTTAGGTGGACGCTTGGGCTCCTGGCAGGTGGGGCCAGTCCAGCCCTGGTAACAGCGGCAGCGGAAGGACTCCCAAGCTCCGGGGCTGCCATCTGGCCGCAGGTGCAGAAAGGCTTCCGCCTGTCCTGGATCTCGCCGGGCACAGCGTCCATGGCCTTGGCACTGCTGGTGACTGCAGGCCATGGCGGCCCTGGTCACATTGAGCACATAGGGGCCCAGGGTGCCCACCAAGTAGTCATGGAGACGCCAGCACTTCCTCTGAAGAGAAAGGAGAGGATGCGTCAGTGCTCTGATGGCCTCTGCCCACTCTGTCCCCTGGCATGGCCCGTGAGGTAGGCTGGAGGGCCAGTGATCACCTCAGAGCTGGAGAAGCTCAGGTCCCCCCAGAGCACCACGCCGGCCGCGCCCAGTGCTGCGCTCACACCAATGGTCTGCACAAGCTCGTCCTGGAGACAGAGAACTGCGAAGCTGGGGTTGGGCTGGCCAGATGCTTCCAGGTCAACCTCGACCTTCGGGGTCACTGCCATGTGACTCTACCTCTAGAGTAAGACCCCATTACACAGAAGCCACTCTGGGGGGCTTCTCAGGCCCTCCACTCAGAATGTGTCCTCTCATGGGGCCGGCAGGTGGCATGGTGGTTAAGGGCGCTGGACTCCCATGTGGCTGACCATGGTTTGAGTCCCGGACCTAGCAGCTTACTCTCTCACTCCCCTCATCCCATCGAATTTAAATAAAGTAAAATAAAACAATTTTTTTTTTTTAAAAAAAGAATGTGTCCCTTCAGACCAGGGCTCCAAAGGCTAGGCCTTAACTTGCCCCTTGTGGTTCTGGAGGGCAAAGCTGTGCCTCCCTCTTCAGATGCTCCAAAGTAACCCAACACCAGGACCTGCCCTCGAATCCTCCCGGGCAAGGTCTTCTCCTCAGACCTTCCAAAGCAAGGGCCATGCCTCCTAACTCAGACTCATAGGCCCCCCGAGTCCACTTACCTGGGACAAGAACTTCCCAGAGCGCTGGTGTGTGAGGCGGACATAGGCCAGGACGGGCAGGGGGTGTGGGTGCCCAGCCAGGGCAACACGGAAGGCCTCCTCCAGGCGGTGCTGGACAAAGGCCTGGTGGTGGACACGCGGCAGCCTGGGTGGGAGGTAGATGCTGGGGAAGAGGGCGCTGGAGGCGGCCCACAGCCAATGCAGCTGGGTGTTGCGGGCCAGGGTGGCTGCGTGGCAGCGGCCCGTGCAGATGGAAGCCTTCCCATGCCAGCCATTGCCACAGGCCGGGTAACGGTAGAAGCCCCAGAGCCCATGGGGCCGCAGGGCCTGACCTAGCCGAAGTGTGTCCTCCATCAGGGCACGGCCTGCCTGCTCAAAGCCAGTTCGGGCCTTGTGCAGCTGTTCCTGAGGGGCCAGCTTGGGGAATGCCCGCTGTGCCCAAGCCCAGGAGGCTGCCCAGTAGGCTCGGCGGCGGCCCCAGTTCCCAGCCCAGAGCGGAAACCACTCCTCCCAGTCCAGCACGGCCAGGCCAGCGAAGTTGGGTCCCAGGCTGTGGCGGATCTGGCTGGCAGCCCGTGCCAGGTGGCGGTCAAGGTGCACAGCTTGGGGGATACCTCCATGGTGCTCTGTGCCCATGGGTCCGAGGTAGGGGTAGAGGCCGAGCTGATTCTTGTAGAAGATGGTGATGTTCTGGCCATGGAAACGCTGGCCACGGTTGGCTCGGATGCCCAGGGCACTGAGTGGCAGGCACACACCAAAGCGGGCCTCGCAACGTGCTGAGGGGACGTTCCACAGCACAGAGAAAGGGCGCTCGGGAGCCTGCAGCAGGGGCCGGCCATACCCCAGGCACACGGCCACCCCCAGCACCAGGGCTGGGCCTAGCTGCATGGCCTTGCCCTAGGGATGGAAACCTGCAGGAGAAAGGGGGTGTGAGCTTAGTCGGTAGCCATGGCCATGCCCTCTGCAGAGTCGGGAAGGCACCTTCAGCCCCTTGGCACCAGGATGGCGCCAGGACAGCAGCTGGGGAAAGCACGCTTCCCAAGGCTTCCCCAAGGCCTTTCACGGAGCCACCCCCCCAAGCTGGCCTGGGCAGCTCCTCTGCCACGTTCTCCGTCTCTGTCAAGCCACCACTGGGTCCTCCGACACATCTCCCACCCACGAGTCCCCTTTTTTCCTCTGCCCAGCTCATTCCTGCCCCAAGAACGCTCAACCTCCTGTCTGCCTGCTTAATTCCTCCTCAGCACGCAGGTCTCTGCTGGGGCAAAGGGGGTTGCCTGGACTCCCAGGTGGAATGAGGGTGTTTGGGCTTCCGAAGCCTCTGCATCCGCTCTTATCCCAGCATGCATCTTGCCACTGGATGCCTCTCCCTCCGTCTCTCTGTCCCCTTGGGTCGAGACCCTGTCTCTCAGTGTCCGTTCCCTGTATATAGTCTAGGGCCTGAGACAGCAGCTGCCCTGTGAATGGTACAGGATGAATGGGAAAATGACAGCCACCCTGTCCTCTGGGTCTGGCAAGATGGGAGGGGTAAAGGACAAGTGTCCCATCGTCAATGGCTCCTGGGCCAGGTTGGATCTGCAAACTTTTACAGGGAAGTGGGACCTAAGAGATGTGGGTGGGAGTCAAGAAATAAACTCTCACAGCCACACCCAACAGAAGCCTTTATTCAGCCACACGGATGACTCTGAGCAGGGCTACAGAGCCACCCCTTGGCCCCACAGGAAACATGCCCAGCTAAAGCCGGCCTCCGGGGGCTAGGGGCCGAGGTCTGGCCAGTGGGCTGAAGCCAGTACTGTCCTGGGCAGTCCACTGGCCCAGAAAGACAGTGCCTTGTCCTGGGTGGCCCTCAGATGTCTTTCTCCATCCAGAATATGGGGCGTCCCCTCAGGTCTCGATACTGTGTTTCTAGCAGGCTTTGGGGAGAGGCCCCTGCTGGGAGTGGGGGTGAGGTGGTCAGGGGCTGAAGCAAGGGAGGTGGTGGTGGCAACGGGGGCCCCTTGGAGCCCACTGGGGTGGCTTGGGCAGTCAGGCTTGGGGGTTTGCAGGGTGGCTGGGAAGAGGAGGCCCTGGGGAAGGCACCAAGCAGGCTGGCGGGCAGCTTTCGGCTGGTGAAGACCTGGCCCTGCACGGGCTCGCCCAGCTGGTAGCCAAGGTGGCTGTAGAAGTGCAGCTGGTCGTGGGTGGTGAGGTGCAGCCGGCGGAAACCCCGGGCCCGGGCAAAGACCTCCAGGCCCTCCATGAGGCGGCGGCCAAAGCCACGACCCCTCAGGGCCCGGGCCACCACCACTGTCTCCACTAAGAGGCTCTGAGGCTGGTCTAGCACTCGGGACAGGCGGGCATGGCCCACCACGATGGGGGCTGCCTCGGGTGTGTGTGGGGTGCTCAGCAACATCAGGCAGAGGGGGAAGGCATCAGAGGACTGGCCCAGGGAGTGCAGGCGGGAG